CCCCCTGTCCTCTCATTGGAATGTGAGTGGGAGAGGAGGGTCTGCTCCCAAGCAGACTGCACCCAGTGGGGGCGTGGCCCAAAGAGAGCAAAGGTCGAGCAAGGGAAATTGCCAGGTTCTCACCCACCCACCAGAAACTGGGCCCCAGTGGGCCGTCAGATGGCAGGAGACTCAGACTCAGGGGGTGTAGGCTTGGGGAAGGGAGCCAGCTGCCTGTGCAGGGCTTGTCTGTGCGACCTAGAGCCTGGCTGGGTTGGCTCCCACCAGCCCGAGCAGGATGGAACCGCTCAGGGCTGCAGGGGACCTGGTCCTGCTCCAGTCTTGGAGAAGTCCCCTCCATTCCCAACATTAATTTTCAAGGCAATAGTCCCTAGGAGACTCTCCTGCCTGCAGCCAGGCTCAGGAAGCCCTCTCCCTGCAAGACCCCTAGGGGGCCTTCTTCTGTTCTCCAGAGACCACCCACAAGGGACTAGTTTGTGGGAGAGGCTTGGGGTCAGAAGTAGTCTCTGAACAAAAGCCAGGGCCGGTTGGTCACGGTGCGTGGGAAGGTGGGGGTGGGGGTGGGGCTGTGCAAAGGCAAGAGGCAGACAGATGGGGCCTCAGGGCTCCTGTCCCAGACAGCAGAAGCAGCCGGCCATTGAGCCATGAAGGCAATGTGGCTCCCTCCTCCCACCTTGCCTAGGGTCCATTCCTACAGGCCCCAGGTCCCTCGGGCGCCCGGGCTTCCCGCCAGAATGGATGTTTACCATCTAGCGCCTTTGAGGAGCTCACTTCCCCAGGGACCCTAGCACCTTTGACCCCTGGGCCCTACTGCTCCTCGCAACGGCCTGGGGTGCGGGCGGGGAGCCCCTGGCAGGTCCCTGACATTTCCATCCCAGCGGGAAAGGAGACTCTACGGAGACAGGGTGCGGTGGGGACCCGCCACAGCGAGGGGAAGAAGGAAGTTCTGCGAGTGGCAGGCGGAGAGCAGCCCAAGGCAGGGGCGCGGGAGGAGGGGACGGAAGCAAGGCGCCGGGGGCGGCGTGGTAGCCCCCTTGCCCCCCGATCTCCGCCGAGACACCCTGTCCGTGGGCCGTGGGACCCCTGCCTTCTCCTCCGCGGACGGCGAGGCGGGCGGGTGGACCCGGGAGCGCGGCGGGAGACCCCGGGCTGGGGGTCACTCACCGCAGGCCGGAGCGGTACACGGCGGCCATGGCACCTGGGCGGGGGGCGGCGGGGTGGCCTCGCAAACCGAGTGGAGCCGGGCGACGTGGAAGGCGGGAGCTCGGGCCGGGGCGGGAGGCGCTTAAAAGGAGGCGGGCGCAGGAGGCGGGACCCTGCGGGCCGGCGCG